GTGGAGGTCTTTCCGAAGCAGAAGAAGCTGAAGGAAGAGATCTGGTGCTGGGAGATGATGGAAACTTTGAGATCCGTCCGGAGTCACAAGAGGAAGGATTGGAAGACTATGACATTCGTGTCTTCAGGATGGCAGTTCCAATGCGCAACAAGAAGTCAAAAGAAGTCACTCGCACGACCATGGAACTCGTGTTGAGACTCTGCATGGACGGCTACGCCGTCGACCGGATTCACACAGATCGAGGACGTGAATTTTCCGGTCATTTTTTGGACTGGACAAGAAGAAGGGGAATAATGGTGACCAAAACTGCCGGGGACGAACCTCAGGCCAACGGAAGGGCCGAGCCGACCGTGAAGGTCGTGAAAAATATGGTGAGGAAGATCCTATGTCAAGCAGGCGAAACAGCGAAGCGGTGGCCCTGGGCCCTTCGACACTGCAACGAGGTGTTGAGGAGCCATAGAACCTACCAAAGACCTGACTTCCCACCGTTTATGCAAGAAGTTTTGGTTCGCCGAAGACGATGGAAGCGGGATGATTTTGCCCCTTCCATGGAAAAGGTGAGGTATCTGGCTCCATCTCCTGAGAACCACGGTCACTGGATCTGGAAGGATGGCGAATCTCCACGGCTCACAAGGTGCATTGTTCGAAAGATCGACTCGGCGCCAGAAGAAAGTCATTGGGTCGCCATGGAAAGGGAGCTTTTAGACGGCCTCTCCATAAGAAGAAGGCTGAGAGAGAAAACTGCAGTAAAGACAATACAAGGAAGATGCGAAGATGAAGAAAAGAAGACGCAGGAAAGGAAGCAGATGAAAAAGGTGATCGCTGGGCCTGTGAGGACTACCCACAAATGGCGATGGAGGCACTTCGAATTGTGGAACGCCTCAGAAAGATCACTGAAAAGGTTGATGAAGAAGAAGAAATCTTGCAAACCAAGATCGTGTCAGTGAAGGAGGTGGCTGCAGAATGGGAGAAATGGATTCCCTCGGCTCAGAATGAGATAGACTCCCTGATCATCGAAAAGGCAGCCCTCAGGCCTCTAGAGGACTGGTGTTCACAAAGAAGCCAGGAAAAGGAAAAAGAAAGGTCCGCTGGGTTGTTTGCGGAAACTTTGAAGCGAAGTCACCCGATGAAGAGAGCACCTACTCCTCAGGCGCAGATGCCACGGCCTTCCGCATCATGTGCTGGCTTGCAGCTCAGCATCAATGGCAAGGTTACGTGATAGATGTCAAAACTGCTTTTTTGAACGCATCGATGTCGGCCAATGAAGAGTCACAATTGCTCCTTGTTGCACCACCAGTACTGCTGGTGGAGAAAGGGCTCCTTCAAAAGGGAGTGATGTATGTGCCAGAGAAGGCTATCTATGGCCTTCGCAGATCACCTCGTCTATGGGGAGATCACCGTGATCGGATGTTGGAAGAAATGGAAGTGTCCGTTGAAGAAGAAGGAAAAGTGAAGATCCTGAAGCTGGAAGCTTTGGCCTCAGAGCAGAATCTCTGGCGAATTCTCTCTCAAGAAGAGGAGCTTCAAGGACTGCTGATGACATATGTCGATGACATTTTTGTCGTTGGAAGCTCTTCGGTCGCCACTGCTATGGTCCAACGGCTCCAGCAGACATGGACTACTTCGCCGCCAGAGCGTGTGGCCCAAAATGGAGTCAAGTTGCTTGGAATGGAAGTGAAAGTGCTGAAGGGGGATGAAGGCCTCAATGAGTGGCACATCTCACAAAGGTCATATTTGACCGAGCTCCTTGGAGGACAAGACCCTCCTATCAAACCCAAGAAGCTGCCCATCACAAAAGATCAAGCAGTCATGCCAAAAGATGAAGGCCTGACCGATCCTGAATCAGTTCGGATGGCTCAGAAGATAGTGGGCGAATTGCTTTGGGTGGTGACCAGAACAAGGCCTGATGTGATGTTCAGTGTCTCAAGAATGGCATCCAGCGTTCTCAGTGGAACCCAAGCGGTGAAGGAGGCTGGAGCTCAAACGAAGGCATACCTATAGGGCACAAAAGAACAGGGCCTTTGCTTCAAGAAAGAAGATGAAGAAGAATGGATGATCCATGTATATACGGATGCGAGTTTTGCTCCGTATGGAGATGAAAGCCACGGTTGCACCATCGTGGCTGTTGGCCAAAGCCCTTTGTTCTGGCGGGCAGGCAAGCAAAGCACAATAGCCTTGTCCACGGCTGAAAGTGAGCTCAATGAAATCATCGAGGGCATGATCGCCGGTGAATCAGTGGGCGTGGTGCTCGAGGAGTTGGTTGGCCCTAGAGCTCATATGAGCTGGACTGACAGCCAAAGTGGACTATCCATCATGACCAACGAAGGTGGATCATGGAGAACTCGTCACCTTCGAACAAGGGCGGTATACGCCAGGCAGGCGATCCAGCTTGGATCATGGAGCATCGGCCACATTCCAGGTGAAGTGATGGTCGCCGATATCGGCGCAAAGGCCTTGTCTGCTCCAAGGCTGGAAAGCTTGAAAACGAGGCTGAACATCAAGGCCCCGAATGAAGAAGAAGAAGAAAAGAAAGAAGCTGAGGTTGAAAACAGCGAAAAAAAGGAAGTGAAGCTCCCACAAGAAGGTGAGAAGGAGAAAGTCCAAGGAGATGTGAAGAAGGCGGCAGCCATAGTCCGAGCTTTGATGATCGTGGCATCGATCAAGGCCGCCAACGGACAGGATGAAGAAATGGAAGAAGAAGGAAATGTGTTGAGCTGGGTGGTGATGATGTATACCCTGGTGGTGATGGTCGTGACGATTTTGGTTTGGCTGTGTCTGAAGGAGGGAGTAGCTCTGGTCAACCGCCGATCGTCAAGCGATCATGAGTGGGACGAGCGAAGTCCTCCCAGAACGCCAAAAAGAAGACCAGACACAACCACCAGGAAGAAGTCACCCAGCGAAAGCCGAAAAGAAGATGAGATTGAAAGGCCACCTTATCTTCCCACTCCAACTCAGTCTCCGTTACCACCTTCTCCACACCCAACTCCGTCTTCTGTGCCATACACTCCAACTCAGACTTCAGGAACACCGGTGATGGTCTGGGCACAACCCGTCATTCTACCACCAAACATGCCTGAATTACCCAGTTGGAATCAACATCCAACTGAGGCCGCAGAACGACAGATGCAGTCGAAAGGAAAGAAAGGAAAGGGAAAAGGGCTCATAGAAGAAGGAAAAGGAAACAGAGCAGCAGCAGCATCAAGCACAGAAGCTCCACAGTCAGCCTCCCAGCGACAAATGGGAGAAAGATCCCGGGCACCACAGCCCGATCCACCTGATGAGGCACAAGGCTTTCCAGTCTTTACAACGAAGTTTGGAAAGGCCTACCACCGAAGAAGAAGTTGTGAATACCTGACTGCTCGCCGGACAGGCGAGGCAAGGCAGTCAGGACCTTGCGCAACATGCGCACAAGGCAGTGGCATCACAAATGCCACCATATGGATGAACACATGGGGAAGTGTTGGGCATGTTCGTCGAAACTGTCCTGACCTTCGAATGGAAGTGCTACGTTTTTCACCTTGCACAAGGTGTTCCATGACCTCGGAAGGCAGCTCGAGCCTTGGAAGTTGAAGAAAAGGTCGAAAAGACCAAAGTTTTGGAAGAAAGAAAGGTCTCAAGAAGACCATGATGGTGAAGTTGGCCGAACCTAACGGAAGGCCAAAGGGGGAGTGCTGCAGTCACGGCATTCCTCATGAGAGTTCGAAAGCATGTTCACATGGCAGATCCATAGCTGCCTTTTTATGCACAAGTGAAGACCAAGAGGTCCGCGAAAAAGCCCTGTTTTGCGTGCGGTGCGAGGGTCGAGAAGGGATTGTCAGTTCGCTCGTACATCAGTTTTAATGATTTGCACCCTTCTCCAACAATATGGATTTACTATTGAGTTTTTTTTGTTGCCTTTTTCAGGCCCTATGAGGTGACGTGCCAGACATACCCAAGTGTGTTGCCTGGGGGCCTAGGGCCCCACAATTTTCCAGTCTGAGAGCCCCTAGATGAGAGTTTCCAAGTTCCCCTACATGAGAGTCTCCAGCTTGCCCACCGACAGCACATTCTGCTTATTGCAGCCCTGGAGTGCCTATTTAACAAGCCTATTAGTAACTTTAGTCGTCCTCAAGCTATGAAAAACAACAAACAAAGACAAAAACATTAAACACACATAAATTCAATTTAGCCTTGAAAAAACTTCAACCTGTAATAAAACCATTATATAAACAAAAAACAAACATATAAACAAATCTGGAAATGAGCCCTGCGCAGAGTTTATCAAGTCATAAGGCTAAACTAGCTTAGCCACCGCATGATGGCTCAATTTCATGGTGGCTTAACTTGTTTGGGTGGCTAAATGGTGGTTAAACCGTTCCCCTTCTTACTAAGGCAGTCTTTGCTCACACACCACCAACCCAAGTAACCCAAACATATATATGGATCAACGTTGTCCACTCGGGGTGCTGTTTTGGTGCCTAGTATGTATCAGTGAGGAGCTGCAAGTTCTGAGTAGCTAAGCTCGATAAAGCAGAAACTAGATTGAATTAGCAAGTTTTTCGCACAACACAGCGTGAAATAAAAATGAAGAAACAAATAATTACAGACAAAGCACATGCAACGTTTCAAAGAACCGGTGAAATGAGTGTGTTTTGTTGATACCAGTGATGTTTCGAGGTTGGCAAATGTCTTCCAAGGGTCACTGCAGGTTGGTCTTTAGGCCAACAATGTTGTTGAACCTAGATGCCTTTGGATGTTGCTTCTGGCTTGATAAACCCAGCAAAATGAAAGGGCGCCCCTGGATGATATTCCCTTGTATACCCCAGCCATAGTTAACTTAGTGCTAAACAATAGAAACAACAAATTGGACAAAAGGAAACTCACCAGGATGGGTTCCAGATTTTTTCCATTTGTGCGTACAATGACGAACAGAACGGCAACCAACTTTGGCTGTTGCTTTAACTTGTTGTGGGCGAAGTGGAACAGAAAGGAAAATGGCTTTGAGATAAATATGGCCGCTGGAACACATTAAGGGGTCGCCATAGAAATGTGTCCCGTACCCCAAGCCTTCGGATCAGTACGGAAAGGCACTTGCGCAAGCACGCGTCGTTGCTGACTTCATTGGTTTTAGGCTTTTTACCTTTCCACGCTGTTTGTTTGTTTGTGCGGTGTGTTGTTTACTTGCTCATTTTCTGCTTGCTGTGATGCATGTCAATGGAAGTTCTTCGACACCTTGCAATACTTGGTCGCCATTTGTATGCGCAATTGTAAAGTAGGGATGTAGAAAGGATATTTGAGCTTTCAGCTGACAGAAACAGGCGCTCCAGTGGGTTGGTTGGCTTTGAGGTAATTAATGGGACTTCCGAATCTTTCTACTATTGCTAGTAAGTTGGTTGCATGTGTTTCATGCCACTAAAACAGAAGCTTCTCCCACCAGTGGCCAGATGCAGGCTCAAACTTAACGGCCGTGCGTGGCATCGCTGAATTTCATCACATTCCACCTATGCAAGATGTTTGTGACCAACTCCTGTCACCGCTTTCCGAGCGATCAATTTGCCAGGAAGATTGGGTGCAGGCAGTAGAAGCCATAGAAGCAACAGAATTGGCTCAAGTTACTCGGTGCGGCAAAGCTTCTCTGAACCAAGTCCTTGAACGGCTCCAACAGTGGCATGTTAATGCTGAGAATTCAGACACTGTGCAAAGGCCAAAGGAAAAAGTCTTAGCAGAGTGTTGCAATGTCTTCATTGAGCAGTGCGCAGAGATTATAGAGATGGCAGGCGTTCCGCCCAAATTGGCATCGAACCTCCTGGGTGTATCAATTCGCATGGCTGAGGTGGTGGGAAAGACGGGCGTGTTACTTCTTGCAATGGATTCCGACTTTGCTCAACTTGCAGAAAAGGTGAATAGGCTCGAACTTGTTTATGACGTGGCGGTAAAACGTGTGGAATGCGTTGCTGGCGAAGTGTCGCAGTTGAAAAGCACTGCTGCTGCCGCAAGCACACAAGCAGAAATGGCCTTGAAGCAGAAGACTGAGATGGAGAGCCAGTGCAGAGAGTTGAAACGGGCTTTGCAGTCAAGCCCCAACCAGTGCTTCGGAAAATGTTGGAATGGAAGGGGCCAAAAAGAGAGAGACGATTTATTTCAGGCGAATAACGTCGTTTTCAGAGCGTCCAAAAAGGCAAGCAGCAACAGCAGTGTTCAGAGTGCGGGATCTCGGCGGATTGTGAGTCTCCGCTCAAAAAATGTGGAATCTCCAGAGAGATCGGCCAAAGGGATCCGGTGTATTGAAGATTCAGATCCTTTAGAAGGCGCTGTGAAGGCTGCATTAGATCACTTGATGGCTTTGTTGCAGCATGCAAGAGACTTGCACGAGTTGCCGCCTTCCCTGACAGCAACTCTGGGGACTCTGGGCATGGCAAATATCAGTAGTGCTGCAACAGACTTAACAGTCAGTGCGATCAAGACCTGGGCTGATTGCCATTTGAAGCTCCAGGATCATGTTTTGGCCGCATCACTGAAACAGTCTGCTTCTCACCTACAGTGCCTGGTGCACTTGTTGAATGGTCACTTTTTGGAGCACTCGACAAAAGGCGTGATGTTGTGAGACGGGCAGTCGAAGACTGAAATGTCTAATAAGTAGAGCGGCCAAGGCTGTTGCCTGTTCTATATAATTGAAATGTTGAAACAGTCGCACGACTTCGCCGTATTTTGCATATTTCAAAGATCTCATAGATGACTCTTTGATCCGGTATCGATTATTGCTCGTGACCCAGATGACACCGCTGTGTTACACGTGACATTTGTGAAACGCTAGCTATATACTTGGGCAGTTGCATATCTCAGATTTGCAGGGCAAAAAGCTCATGTTTGTTGCATTCAATCTCCACTCCAGATCCTCATCTCACTTTGCCTTGGCAACTTGCGTCTCCACTCTCGACTCATTTCGCCGCATTCAATCTCCTTGTCTCATGATCAATATGACTGCTGATGCAGTTTGCTGAGTTCTCTCAGCAAGCATGGTGCCGAACATGCACCCCACTGCCTAGCCCAACCTGACAACACTTCTCCCATCATTATTATTTGTTCCAGACACTAATAATTGTTGTTGTTGCTGTTGCTGTTGTTGTTGCTTTTTAATGCTTTTTAATGTGTCCAGTTTATGTAGGGCTGGGATTTTCGACTTAGGCGAAACATACCCTGAAGCATACCTCCGAAGCAAGATCCCGGGAACGTCAACAAAAATGCCCAATCCTCTCAGCTTTTGTTCCTTGCCCTTCTCTCACCAAAAGACTTTAGTCACAGTTAACGTTACAGTACTGTAGCCCTTTTTCTGTTTTCGCTTTAGTTTGGGCAGTGTTTCCCAGGTCACCATGCAACTAGGATACCCATCCGATGCAGCGAGCTATAATTATGGAGCAGCGCATGGCACTTAGTCAGATCCAGTCGTTCACAAACAATGCATTAGAATCATTAGAAACGAAGCTTTTGTTCTCACAGGCAACCTAACCTTGGATTTGAGGGAAAGAACGGCTCCTGACTCAGACAGATAGAACTGATAGAGCTATATACTTGCAATTGCTGTTGAAATCCATACTTCAGCAACAGAGGCGGCTTCTTTGGAATGTCATGATGTTGGCATTGTTGGCACATATTATTCCTCCAACCCAATAGTTAGCTGCTGTTCGGTTTCAAGAGACTGTGCGGTTCACAGAACGCTGAAGCCCGTGATTGGCCACAGAATTGCAGAGACAGTGTTTCGAGTGAGTGTGCAAGCTGAAGGCAGTTGTTGTAGTTCAAAAAGTTTCAAGGACGCTTCATGCCTGTAAGAGTTACTCTAAGTACAAGCCCGCTTTGGGACAAAGGCCTGACAAAGTCACCATTTGGGAGATCGCGGAGAAGTATCAACTTGCCAGCTTTGGCGTTGCGCCCCGATGGCATTCTGCTTGAGAATTGGACTTCTTGCATGACTCATGTTCTTTTACAGCATTTTAATCGCTGCCCCTGCGCTAGGTGCCTTCTTTTGCCATGGCTCATTTTCTCTTTGGTCTTCATGGCGTGGTTTGATTATATAAAACAAGCAAATGGTGTGGTATATCACTTTAGCGATTCTCCATTGCCAGGTGTACAGTCTTTGCAGTCTGAGCATCCACTACCAAAGCCCAGAGCTTGTGATACTTGGAGAAGTTGTTGCTGGCGCCGTGATTCTGGGGCCACTTCCTCAGGCTTTTGGTCTCAAGTTGCTTTAGATGAGCAGTTGAGGTAGTAGTTTCACTTTGAGTTCGACCAGAAGCAAAACGATTGTTAGCTAAGGATCGCATACTCTGCCCTGCAAAACCTCAGGCTCTGGAAATTTAAGAGCTTGCGCAACTTGTGACAAACAATCAGCAAGCGCCGTATACCAGGGGTGGAGAAGATGGACAGTCTTGGTACTTCTTCCTCCTGCTTTCCTGTGGTGCCAACTTGGCATTGGCAGTCATCCTTGGCAACATGAACTTCAGGCCATGTAACAGGTGGAGGTCTTTTTGTAAGAGATGCGCAAATTGCATTATGAAAGGACCAACATGGTCCCATTCATGGACGTCAACAACATGAACGAGTACGACATGGTGAACCCTGCAGAGAGCAAAGGACCGGACACATGATCCGTTGTTTAGATTTTTCTACAACTAACTATCCTTCAATTCTATTTTTTGTAGGACCAGGATTTGTTTGTTTGGTTAAAGCGTTCGACTGCCAAATTATTGCAGGCAACCAGCTCATGGATGCTGGCCGCATACACTTCGTTCCAGAGTCAAAGCTGGACATCAGCCACTCGATGGGTTTCCGGTCGTACTCTGAGATTTCGGAGAGAATGATTTTGCTTTTAACATTGCACTTGTTTGAACAGTCCTTAGTCTGTCGCCTGGCATGGATCCCTTGGTGCCTAGGAACATGGACACGTATTGTGTTGCACCAATTTCAGTCGGAGAGCAGGACAACTACGACTTTTGGGCTGTTGGTGACAGTCCGAGTTTACAGTCTCCTGCATGTGATGCATGAGTGTGTGCGCGGGGCTTTCAGTTGCAATGCGTGTATGTAAGGTCTAAATTGCTGCTCCGGGCATGTTGCGGACTTCCACTGCGGTTCGACACTTCATTGTTGTTAGTTTCATTCATGGGACTCAGTGTCTCCAGTCCAAGGTGGAAACTATTTTGCCATATTCATGTTGACTTGCAGGTGAATTCAACAACCCAACAGCTCATGCTGGGCTTCGGCTTATGAGGGATGACTTACGCTCCTACTTCCGACTAGCTGTGCAACAGGCAGAGGCGCAAGATTGAGTCAAACATGCCTCCAGCACAGCCAACAGACCAACTGGCCCTGATAGATTGTGAGATTGTGAGGCTGCGTACAACATCCGTGCAAATCATCCCATTTTCTTCTACTGGATGCAGGACTTGGAAAAGTGCCGAATTAGACTGTGCACGAAGATGGGCCAAGTGGATTGGGGAAGAAGACCTGCCACAGGATCCTGCAACTGAGATCAGTGCGTACGAGAGCGCTGCCTATACAGCCAACCCTGGCATTGCTTACTGTTCAGAGATCTTCAGAGACGACTGATCGGTCAGTTGAAAGAAGTTACGCACTCTATTTGTACGACAATTCAATTGGTCTTTAGGTATGCACTGTCCTGGCGTGCAGGTGGCAGAGACTTTTGACGCAGACCTTTTTCCAAATCATATCATCAGATTGCAGAAGGGTGTTTCATGCAAGACTACTGTGACTTTGAGTTTTCCTTGGAGAACGATCAGGGATGTCCAAAAGATTCCAAAAGAAATAGCCCCTATTGCTACATGCAATATGTCCTTGGATGTCGATGTTTCAAATCTGCAAACACCTTGCAAAACGATGCCTACAGCGTCCATGTGGAAATACGTGGAAATTCTGCAGAATAATTTTGGGTGCTTTAACTTGAATGCGCACTACACAACCTATTTACAATTAATTACACAATTACATACCTGCATGAACCTTGTGGACAATAATGTGCAATCCATTGTCGCAAACATTTGTGCCAAAAGAGTCGGAAATCGCCACAAGCAAAAAAGAACTCTACGCGGAGAACATGCAACAATCCATGTACGGGGAAGATATACCGGTTCAAGGACACACGCAGCTAGATTCCCCAAACAACAGGAAAACAACAAACCCGCACACTCACCTCCACAATGACCTCATTTTTCAATGAACATGACTGAATGGCAAGAGAACAAGGTCTGAAATGGCGCTGCAAGTTCGGGCACAAACCATGCTAGAGGCGCCTGAAGCTTCTCCAACTCTTGTTGCATTTGGTTGTACAGGGGATCCTCGTGGTCGTACTTCTTAGAACTGCCACAAGAGTCTTGTGCTTATGGTATTTTTTGGTGGAACCACATTTTCTGTTGGATTTTTTCCAACGTGTTTTGGATTTTTTTCCAGGTTCTGTTGTCTTCGGGAAGGAAGGAAGGAAGGAAGGAAGCAAGCAAGGAAGCAAGCAAGCAAGCAAGCAAGAAAGCAAGGAAGCAAGGAAGCAAGCAAGGAAGCAAGCAAGCAAGGAAGGGAGCAAGCAAGGAAGTAAGCAAGCAAGCTAGCAAGCCAGCAAGGGAGTCAGGGAGGAAGGGAGGAAGGAGCAATGTGTCAGTGCCGGGATGCTCACTATACTTTGTTTTTTGCGGGGGAGGCCCTGGGCCCTCCCCGCACCCCCTCCCTCTTTATTGAATTTAAGCAGGTCACTCAAAACAAAACTAGCAAACCAGTTTGCAAGCGACTGGCCTGCAAAGCACTTGACCCTCAAACACTTTACAGAAAAAAGACCTGGACACAAACAACTCTTGGTGATTGGTTTTCCAGCGTGGGGTTGTTTTCCTTGCAGGGGAGGCGCTGCGCCCTCCCCCGCACTCTCTTTTCATTGATTGTGCTGCTACAGCGCATCATGACAGGCAAGAAAACAATCAAGCGCACACATACATACATACATACATACATACATACATACATACATACATACATAC